ATTGTAAGAGATACATATATAGATAGTTCTAGACAGACAAGCAGATATATAGATACATTTATAGATAGTTATAGACAGACAGTTAGATAGATAGATAGATAGATGGATGGATAGATAAATAGATATGTAGATAAACAGATAGGTAGATAGCGAGTGAGAAAAGACAAAGAGGTAAGGTACATTTGTCTATATTTCCGTAGGTAGTTGGGCCGATAGAAAAGGTAAGCGCAAGCGCATCCCAAGGATGAAAGCAAGTACAGAAATATTTGTCCAAGATGAGCTCCGTACGCGCACTGGAACGAATAGGATGAAAGTTCTGAACGATTACTACAAGCGTAAGCGGCGATCGAATAAATAGAGATGGAGAACGCTTGCGCATCCCTTGTGCTTGCGTATGCATGAGAGAATGGGTGCATTTGTATATGCACATTTCAGTGGGTAAGAACATTCTAGGAAAGAGAGTGGGGGATTGTGCAAATGCGCATGCTTACGTTTTTCCACGAAAAAATGTGTAAACGCAGGCGCACTGTCCTAAAAACTTTTCGTTCTGCAGCTTCCCAATTTTGCTATTTACCATTACATAAACTTGTTATTTCATATTATGTTAAATTATTTGGATTTGTAATAACTTAAATGTAAAATAATAACAATTATAACAAACAAAACATTAATCTAACTAACAAATGTTTTCTTTTTTTAACAATATTATATTTTATATTTCGTATTGTATTGAAAATATATAAGTTCTAGACAACTAAAAATTAAAAATTGCTTTAATAAATTTCCTGGCTGACTATCTGATATGAAACGACGCATTCACATTTATTCTTTCTACCTATTATAAATTACAAATGAATATTAATTTACAGTTTTACAAGTTCTATGCAAAATACATTTATAATTAAAAGACTCTCTTTAACTAATTAAACTTGAGCTCATTTATGTTAGTTAGACCTTCACTATTCTATGCAGTAGGTACCGCTCTAACCTTCGTTGACCCAATTGTATTTGGACGTGTCCACCAGAGTGTTGCAAACGTTATATTACATTGAACTGTATTTTAGTGCAATGCATTGTATTATTTCAGTTTTTATTTCTTATGCAATCTCAATTCAGTTATGTTATATTACTTTATTCTGCATTACTTTATTACTCAGTAAATAATCATTAAAATTGTTTGTATTATATTTAACGTATAAATATTATTAAATAAGAAAATATTTAACATACACATGAATCATAAATTAATAAAATTAAGAAACTAATATTATTTTAAAAATGAATTTGCTTAATATTCTATTTCTAAATTCATAATACAATTATTTTAAAAATGAATTTGCTTAATATTCTATTTCTAAATTCTTTATTATCAATTATACATTTAAAAATTAAATTTTAATTATTACATTAATAATCTTTTATATATTATCTTAGAAAGCATTGTACCAATTTAAAAATATTTGTAGAAGTGATTAAGTACAGTGGTGGGTTATTCTTTTTAATGTTCAGAATAATTATTTTTAACATAAACTAGACATATTTCATTAAAAAGTCAAGTAATTTCTATATAAATATGTATTTATTAATTTAGGGATTCTAACATAAAATTAGAAATGTTTATAAATATTTCCACAAATTTTAAAAACTATTGTAATTTAAAGAAAATGAATCAGACGTTATTATTATCAATGGCATTTAACTTTTGATAGTTAGTTCGATAGTTTATCAATAATCAACGAAAAACTATTAATTTGCTTTATATTATATTAATTATATGAACTAATGTATTAATTACGTATATAAATATTAACTATGCATAATGCTATGATGATACTGACTAATAATTTATTTTTAAGAAATTTTATTGTCTTTATTATTTTTCATTAATTTCTTTATTTTTCGAAAGGATGGAAGCATAATTAATCGTTTTCATTAATATTCATCTATATTTTCTATTTTATTATGTTTTATCTAATCGTAGATCTAAATTTTATGAATTATAAATCATTAAATCAGTTTATGATCAGAATTTATATAAAACAAATAATACTATGATAATTTTAACTAATGATAATACTTATTATAAATACTTCTCACTGTTACATATTTTAAATTGTTATGTATACAGCTGATTTTCAACTTAGAGGCTAAAATATAGTTTGAAATTGTATTTTTTGATTTTTAGTCTCATTAATTTTATGCTTAATTTTCAAGATATTTTTATCATTCTTAGATATTTCAATTCTTTTTGTGTCCCAGCATTTTCTTTAATATCTTTTATATCTTTATATTTATCCTATTGTAACATGTCAGTGAAAATAGTCAAAATTTGATTTTTCTTCTTATACATATATATAATTTTAATTATTTTTTCCTTAACTACTTTAAATCAAATGAGTTACATTTTTATGGTTGAATAAATAAAAATTTATCAAGGCATGTTATGCAAATTATATATATTTTAAATTTTAAATTTGAAACTTTTTAAAGGAAAGTACATATACTACAGTTGTAACAAATTTTAAAATATAAATATAAATAGTTTCTGTGTTAAATTCAATCCAAATAATAGCCATTTTAGACTGTTTGAAAGTCTGAAAATATGTTTAATTATAAATAATGACACATGCAAATAAAATAAATAAAATCGTTATTTATTATTGATATAGTTGAAAGATATATATTTATGTAATTTATAAAATAATACATTAAATTCAAATGTAAATGATTAGCAATATAGAAGAAATACATTGTATTGCAATTTCATTACGCAATCTCATATAAATAAAGACTTAATGCAACATTTTTAAATAATTGGTTTTATACATATTATATAGTTTTATTATACACCTCATAATATTAAAAATTATTAAACTTTTTATACAAATATTGTTAATATAATAATTATAAATTACATCTATCTATCTAAATGCTATTATATTGACGAAAAATGTATTACAATTTATATTTTCTTTTCATTTTTTCTCTAAATAAATAATGCATTGAAAATTATTAATATTAAAAATTTGTCAATATAAAAGCAAAATTTAATTCACACAAAATCTCTTATATAGATTATTATTTTTTATGCGGAAATCCAGAAATATAGTAATTCAATAAAACAATGGAATTCTCTGCGCTGACGATAGTATAAAAAATTCGTGTGTACTTACTCTCAAATTAAAGAGCATAGAAAGATTTGAATGACCCAGTTTCTTGGGGTACGTCCATCGTAATGGAAGATTCCATCTTGCTTCGATAGAAGAAAATGAAAACTCGATGATAAGAACTCGAATTCATTTATCGTTTTGACACATAGTAGACTAAATTGCACACATCAGAATTTAATAATATAAAAGATAGCATATTAAATTATAATATGTCATTTTATATTTTATATATTTAATTTATTACGTTAGAATTCTTGCTGTTAATTAAACAAATATGTAAATTAAAAAATTAATTTATCTATAAAAAATAAACTTAAAAATAAATTTTAATTTACTTTATATGTAATTAACTTGTTAAAACTACTTGTTAAATATTAATTTAATTATTATGATATGTAAGTTACATAATTTTTCAAAATATATTATTCTCTGTTATTATCATAAAAAAATCAATAAATCTTATTATTCGATAAAGTAAGTAATTTTTTTAATAAAGTGCGACAAAATCTTGTAGAATTCTTCTCTATATATAATACTTTACAGTATTTTAATTATGTATAAACGTAAGAAAGTGTATTTTACAAATTTTTAGAAATATTTGCATTTATAGATGGGCACAATTAGGTATATTATCATTCCTAATTATATTTTTGATCACACAGAAAATGTGTATATAAAGGAAAAAAACTAACAAATCATGAATATTACATATATAATAGAAAAAAAACTTTGATTACAAGAACAAAATTTTTTTAATTTTTTTGAATTTTTAAGTTTCGAGGAAGGTAGAAAATGTCAAAACAAAGAAAAGCGAGGAAAATTATAAAATTTCATTTTTATGTGTACCTACAATCAAATTTATTTATATACAGTTAATAAATAATTTTATTAATTGTTAATAATAATGATTTTTAAATATTATATTGACATTAAAAATAATTAAAATTAGCTATTAAGTTTATAAAATTTATTTTATAAACTATCATTTTAATAAAAGATAATATTTCATGAAAAATATAGTAACAAATTATATAATTAATAATATAAGTTTTTGAAACTGTATATAAAACAGCCAGGATAATGTCAAAATTCAATTACAAAATATCTGTATTATACGAAGATTTCATATTATTATTAATCCTTGAAATAAACTATCAATAATGAAATAAATTGAACAAATAGTTTTGAATAAACAAATAAAATTCGAAAAATAATTTCAAAAATAAATTTTATACTTTAGTTTTTTATACTTTTATTAAATTACAAAATTTGTATAATGAACTAATAAGATTATACGTGTACATATTGTTTTCTGTATTTAATTAAATGTAATTCGTTTAGTTAAAATATTAGTAGTTATGTTTTTGTATAGTTTCAGTTATAAAAATATTCCTTTTTTTTTTAATCTTCCGTATAGTAATACAATAACTATAAATGTATTTATTGTATATTGCTTACAATAGTCTAGAAAATATTTTAATTTATGCAAGACTTTAAACCATACATACTTTCAACAATGTATTATTAACTTTATTTCGGATTCTGCAAGTTTTAATCGTTAGTATTTGTGAGGTTCCATAATATTTATTATGGAATTTATTTATTCCATAATATCCATATATATTTCTGTATAGATATCTTATATTAGTATATTTTTGCTACTAATTTACTCACAGTCGATATAGTAGATTATTTCAATTAAAATGTCAGAAAAATTTATTAAAAACTATTTTATCAAGCAATTATTATTTCATAAATTACAATAATAGAATGTTTGTCTCTCTCACTTTATGCTTGAATATAATGCAATTCAATATTAATTTTACTTACCAGTATCTCCATTAAGCAGCTTATCCGTTTCTTCTGAAATAGTTTCATGAGTAGTCAAGTCTTTATCATCTTTAGCAATTTCTGTAAAAATAAAATTACACAATATTAAAGAATAAATATAGAACCAATCGTATTATCGATAAAGGTAATTAAATAATAAATTTATTATTGATAATGATGCTTTATTATTGAATTTTACAATAGCTAAGAAAATAACATGTCTATACTTGTTCAAATTATATTTATAATTTATTGTACAAGATATACAAATATATAAAAGTTTCAATAGCAGAAGACTATGATTTTTAAAAGCATAGAATATATTAATGTTATACATAATAAATACATTTTAACAATACATTTTTGCATAATTTTATTGTATTTCATTTAAGATTATTATTAAATATTACTTATATGAGTTAGAAGTAAATGGTAATATTAATTACTTTAACACTAATGAATTTTTAAAATTATATGAGAAAACAAATTTATTACATCCTATTTTTTATGATTAATATAAAATTACATATTACACAAGAGTCATATATAATTTATGAAGTAACGATGAAAAGATTATAAAGTATCAATACTTCAACATTAAATTATTGTTTCATTTAAAGTGTAAAAATGAGATTACTTAATGATTTCATACAACACAAAATTCTTTACATGATATTTCTAAATTTTTTCGGCTAATCTGATCCAGCATGTTACTAATTAAGACCTTTATTTCGTGAGGAAGACCTTGAAGTGTAGGACTAGCAATACCAATTTCTGTCATGATTTCTCCATGTAAAGGTCCCAATAAATTATTTTTAAAGCTATTAAAAATATTATAATGATTATAATGATAAGTATAAATAGTTATAAATTTTTTATATTCTATTTAGATCCATAAATATTTGTTTAGTAATTGATATTGAAATGACATGTTTTATAAAAATAATTTTATATAAAGTACCTTAAAGCCAATTCCTTTACATGCCAAAATCGACCAAGTTCCTTTTGATGCAAATTCACATATTTTAAAACATTAACCGTAGCAGATCGTGTTCTACAGTTAGAACTAGATCCTTTAAGTAATAAATTTAAGACTAGCCAATCTCCAATAGGAATACCAATAAGTTTACATTCAATGTCTTTTCTTTTATATAATAAAAAATAAATTTCATAAATATTTTTTTCTTGAGCTTTCCAGTTTCTTGGAATGCATGTCATCTCTTTACTCCAAGTTCTGAAATAGATTCAAGTAATTCCCATTACCATGTGAATTAAAAAATATAAATAAATCACTAAATGTTCACATTAAATAAATAATCAAATAACATATGTAGTCTATTATTTTAATTATTATTCATACTCAGTGCTTTCATTATAGAGACAGGAAACACGATATCCATACTCTGCCATTATTGTAATTAAGAATGCCATGACAAAATCATACTCATTAGCATTTTCATCCAATTGTTCAATAGTATGTAATAAATTAGGAGCTAATTTCAATTGATTACTGTCTTCCGCAAATACTGGAGTTGCCATTTTTGGTTATATAGATAAACATAACCTATTTTAATCACTTTTTATCTTGATATCTAAACTTTTCAATGGCTTTTATTCCGTTTTCATCAAAGCACTGTTTAAATAAATCCATATATATTGAATGATAAATATTCACTTTGATGTATCAAATGTATAAATTAAATAGAATCATTCTTTCAGTAACAGTAAGTTTAAATATATTACATTAAGCATCCAAATATGAAAGTATCTGTATAATGTAAATACTAGTGTCACCAATTGGATTTAAAAAGAACTATAGAATTTAAAGGTCACGTGGAAATATCAAATTTGACATGTCAAAACGTTCCTATTTATCCAATTGTCAACAGTGTTACGTAAATAAAAGTTGACCGATTGTGGATGATTTCATAATTATACAAAAATTATTTTATGCTTAAATGTAATTTATTTGAAATATAACTATTTTATCCGTATAACAATTTACTGTGTTATCTTAATTGATAAATTTATATATATAAACTTTTTTAATATTTAATATATGTACTTCATTATATTGCTTAATGTAAGAAATAAAATTTAATATCAATTATAAGTTTCTCTCTTTTAATAACATATTTATAATTTGTAAATTAATAAAAAATTATTAAATTAATATATATATATATATACAAAAGTATGTTTTATAAGATTACTTGGATTATCGATGACGAGAAAAGTAAAGCCTACTAGGGAAATTTTTTTATAATATTTTAAGTCCTTTTTGTGAGCGGGAAGTTTAATAATTAATAATAATTATTATGTTATATTAATAGTTCTAAATGTTTACCAATAAATTCCACTTAGTTTGGTTTCAAGCCTTATACTTTGTTTTATTTTAAAATTTAATTCTCGAAGAATTGTCATAAATTTTGCTTTAAGGCTTTTTCAAGTGGTAATTAATATGGAATTATACATTCATGCTAAAAAGAAGTGGAGCTCTATTTTTTAGTTAGATTGAGAATGATGTGTTAGAAAAACAAAATGCGACCTCGATAAATTTCATTGAATTTTATGAAAACAGTATTCAAAAAGATTGGTGAAGTAAGATTTGAAATAAATTTATAATTCACTTTTAAACTAATGTCAAGTTTTTCCTTTTATTCCGGGTTTCGTCAGCGCCTATGACAAAACTAATAATCAATTGTGAACTAATCAATTAATATTTCGATATTATTTCACTTTGTTTATTTTGCGAGCAGCATTTGAGCATTGCGAATTTTCGATCTAGCTTCTGAGAAGTATTTAATTTTAGCTAAATACCGCGAAGCATTCACTTCATGAGATGAAGTTAGCGCAAGTACGACAAGCAATATCTTATCGGCCATCGGTTAAATAAATCAGTTAGTAATAGGTATGTAACATTGCGGTAGGTGCACACAAAGCGAATCGCAGGGCTCTTGCTCGGTGTCTAGATTTTTAGTCGGGCAGCTGCTGAGTCACTTTTATTTCACATGTTTGCACCGAGTCAACGTGAAGGCGCTCAATATATATAATACACACGCGCACGTAATACATGGAGAAAGTTGTAGAAGGTGGAAATATGCTAATTTCACGTGACTCCAGAGTCTGGAGCAAATAGTTTAAAATAGTTTTGAGTTATTTGTTGCTTAAAATTCGTTTATATAACACCTATAATTATTTTATTTTTTAGAGTACGATAAATTTAAGATCTGATTCGACTGAGAAATTCGGTAGAGAAATTCTGGTCACTTTCTTAATTTAAAGTTTCAAGATAAATGGGTTTCGGTATGCATATGGCGATTCATTAGAAGATATTACTAACGAATGAAATTTTTTAATCTTATGCCGCAGACTTATCAATGGTATACTCCATACTTTTTATACTTTATATACTACGTTAGCCTCAATTACAATGGAATTCAAGATATGACCAACGAAAGTATTTAAAGGTAACTGAATATCTTTTTGTGTAAAAAATATTTTAATCCAGGGTTCATTTTCACATTCAGTCATTTATTATTATAAAAGGTATGGATAGTCAGCTGTGAAATGATATTAATTTAAAAGCAAGGGTTGAAGTGTATGAAATTGTTGAAATTCATCGCGCGTGCGCAGTGAATAGTGTAACAGCAAATAAACGTTTATACGCATTGTACTAAGCCTAATAATTAATTATTTCAATTGAAAGAAAATGAAGAAGCACAATAAACAAAAGAAAAGGACGAGTACTGAACGAGAAAAAAAATTGAGTAAGGAAGACCAAGTTCTGAGGCTTTTTACAAGGGCCAGACTTAATTACAAAATACAAACGGCAAATTAAACATAAACTCGGGCGCAATGGCTATTTCCGTTGAGTGTTAGAAAATCCAAAAATTGGCTAATCCTCACAAGGCACATTCAAAATTATAACCTAAATGGATCTTCCATGGCTTGGCAGCCCTTCGTAAATAAACTAACAAGACACAGAAATTGAGAGGCAACGATTGGATACACATATTCGCGGACAAACAATCGCGGGGAAATTGACTCATAAAAATCGGCAAGTTTACCGAAGGCCGAGTCTTCTTATTGCTCTCCGTCTCGCTTGGACGCGTGCGCTATCTTTCTCGAATATGTCGTGTGCACAAGGAGAGCTCCTTATCGCGGAGGACTCGCCGAAGACGAGCGATCAAAAATCAAAAATCAAAAAGGCATTCGCCCCGATCGGCGTGGCAGCGCTCGTCACGGTCCCGTTCCTCGTTACCTGCTGAATCGGCGAACAATGCTTCCGGGCGCTCGTCCTCGTCCTCGGGCCTCCTCTTCTCCTCGGTGCCAGAGCCCTCGGACGTAGCGCCCGCTGCGGTGGCTGTGGCAGCGTCGGCGACGACAACGGCCACGGTATCGGCCATTTTTCGAGGTTAACGAGAACGTTGGCGGTGACAGCCCGACAGCACAGACGGCGCCCGTCGAAAACACGTTCGCGCGGCGACCCGGACGCACGGACGTACATTCGAATTCGTCGACTTCGTTCTTAGCGTACTTTTTGCCTTTCCTTTTTGAACCAGGAGCGGGGAGAGGCACCGACCGCGCTCGCTTGGTGAGGCAGGATCTCGGGCTGGACGGTCGTCGCGGGTAAAAGTTGCACCAGGCCGCCAAAGTCGGATCTTCCAACACTTGTTGCACGAGTTCGGCGACTTCTCGCGGACGATAAGGTAGAGGTGGACACCCGGGCCGAAGAGCGTAGCTCGCCCCCGCCAGAGATGGCGCACCTTGCTCGGGGTTAGCAATGCTGCCATCGCGCGGTCGACGTCGCGGCCCAGGATTAGCCGTGCCCCTCTCCCACTCGCCGCTTACTTTTTTCCTCTTAGTAGGGAATTGACGCCTGGCAATAATAAGATTTGCTTCGTGATATCGGTGGACAGGCTTGCCGTTGATGCCTGTTTAAGGCCGAAGTTAGATACACTGTCGAGCAAGCTACACTCTGCATCAATTAATGCATTATATCTTTACGGGCTATTTCAATTTACCGTAACGTGTTTGTAATAGATCTGCAACCAGACATCGACTGCTCCAATTACCTCTAATCATTAAGTCATTAGTCAATCGGAACAAAAATATTCTTTCTTTCATGTATTTTTCCGAGTCGACATAGTTAATCGACGCTCAAACTGCAACAAATAGAATATTAATATATTAAACTAAATGTGATATACTTTGATCTTATCGAGACCTAGCGGGAATTAAGATTAGCTTTAACATGGTTTTATTATTATGCGTTATCTTTCGGTTCTATTATTTCATCGAATATAAATTTCAAGTCCATTTTTTAATTCATCATATAAACGTATTTGAAGCTTGTTAGGCGTCAAAGTCTTTGAAATAATTATATTAACATTTTATTTGAAATTGCTATTATAATATATAACTCTCATACCAAATGTTAATTATAACATATCGAATATATAAGCAGCGAATTTTTACTACGAAGATAAAACAAAAAGAAATAATTTAAAATAAAATACAATTAAATATAAGAGCTATTATGCAATAAGCATCTGGTAATATTAAAAAGTATAATTTGCTTTTAATATTCATTCTATACAAATAATAGAAATTATTGAAAATAATAATTTTATTAAATAACATTTGTAAATGAAATTAACAAATTTTGCATTGGTTTCTTAATTGAATTCATTTTAACAATTTAATCATGAACAATTTAATTCTAAACATTCACTTTCTGTGAGATTTGTTTAAAAGTTATATTGATGTAATATTGAAATACATCAAATTATCATATTTCAAAAAATTATTTAACATTTTGAAAAATGCCATTGGAATGAATCGAAGTTAAAATCACATTCGTACTAATCAACAAAAATATTATTTATAATTTGTAAATATTCTTAGATAACATGCGTTTGCAATAATAATATATTTATATTTATATTAAATGTTTCTATAACGTTATTATATTACAGGAAGCAAATCACTTTAAAATTATTGAATTTAAAATTGTGTATATCTTTACAATATGCTTTTTAATATTTATAAAAGAAAATTATATAATTTTAATGTATAAATATTCAATAGTCTAGAAAATTCATTCTATATAAAATAATAATTAATATTACGTTTATTACTTGGCATACTTTTAAAACATTCAAATTGTTATTACGCTTAAATTATAATTACATCAATAATAATAATCTTTTTTGTAGTAGACAAGATAATTTATATTATTTTATTTGTATATTATATTAATTTGTATTCTTATAAAAACTAATGCTGCAAAATTAATCAAATTCACAATATTAATCAAAGCTTTCGTACATTAAATCCATAAAAATAGATAAAGGACAACATTTTAGCTCTAAAAATTTATTGAGAAGAATCTGCTTTAAAAGATAATGTTATGTTAATTCTACTTTTCTTCTTTAATAATGAATAATAGATTAAAAATACTCAATTACTAGTACTTTTGCCTTACCGATGATAACAGTAATTTTAATTATTTTTTAATTTAATTTGTAAGTGACAAATAGGAATTCAGGTGCATGAATAGTAATGTAATGGTCCCGTATTCGAAAATATATAGCAGCTAACCGGTGGGAAATGTTGTTATCCACGTACAACTCTTATAGCTATAACATTTAACACTTTGCAGAATTCTCATAAAAGAGATATCAGTATCTCATTATTATTATAACCGATTGTTTATAATTATAAGAAAATATGAACATGAATTCATCCAACCATTTCATTTCATTGGATTATAAGGTATTTTATCATAAGCTATTTTTGTATTTATTATACATTCATGTTGAATTTATGATTTAAATTTGAAATATTAATAAAGTTTTCAATTGATTCTTTACTTATAATTAATCGGGTAAAACATTAAGTGACGATAAGCATTGCTTTGGCAATATTATAATTGATACGAAAGAAAAAAATATAATATAATGACCAATACATATACCGCTTTCTAATTTTCAAGTTAAACTATCTTAAGTGAAATACAGGGATAATATTCAGTGTTCGAAATGATAAGTAACCACACCAAAAGCGATGTAATTTTTTATTTATAACATTTATATAATTAATTTCAGTATTTCAATAAAATACAAGTAGAATTTCGATCTTTTCTAATTCATAAAGATAAATTTATAAACATAATTTTATTAAAAAACTCAAATGCAAGGTAAAAGACATTTTTGGTAAAAGTGTTTTTTTCTTTAAGGCTAAGTGGATATTTAAAGTATAAAGTAAACTTTTATAAACTATCACTTATTCTTATTTTAACAGTATATATAATATTACGATATATATTTTACTTTATATAAACACCTAATAATTTTAGAAATGATACAAATAAATATCAATAATTTGTTATTAATTGTCAATTGTCAACAAAATATCAGATACTGAAATATGCAAGATGACAACATTTTAATTTACGTTTAAATATTACATACCACGTTTTTTTCTAGGTTTTATATCTTTGTTATTTATTTGCAATTTATTAAAATGGAATGACACAATTTTTTCTAAAATTGTACAATTAATAGTATTGTATTCTATAATATATTTAGAATATCAAAACTAGAATTTTATGCGATATCAACAATTATAATATTAAAGCAAAATATTATTCGAAAACATGACGTTATTTATAAAATAATAAGTTTTATTAAATTTTGATCATTTATTTATTGAACGAGTTACTATGGATTAATTATTTGGATAATCATTAACAAAAGAACAATTTTTATTACTATATATTCATATTTCATTAACATATACATACTTCTGTCAATAAATAATATGGCAACTAAGAAATATTAATTTATTTGTATTATTATTATTATTTAAAACCTTATTATTTAGTTATATAAAAATAAACGATTGTAACATATTTGTATAATGTATGGTTATTTGTGATGGTAATTTTATTTGTAATAATACTGTTTTTAACATTTATTTAACATTACACAAAATATTCTTGTGTTACAATTTTAAGAAATTGAATGTTAGAATATTATTTTTGTATATTATGACATTATATTTTGAAATTCCAAAAATTCATATTATTTATAAAAATCTTGAACAACGACAAATGTTGTAGTATATGAAAAATAAATTTTAATATAAATATATTTTTATAAGCAAAAAGTATTTATATGGTTTATTTATTATTTGCATGATTATTTAAAAACCTTTGGTAAATTTTATGTTAAAGACTTGATAGATTAACATAGTTTAACTAATTCGCATTTTTAAACACAATCAAGTAAAATTTGAACATCAAGATAATTTGGGAATAAAATTGATATTTGTTATGCAAATATATTTATTTCCAACTAGGCTAAAATATGATTAAATAAGACAAATCTGCTTTATTATTTTTGTTTTCTCTTTATTATGAATTATGTAAAAACATTGTTTTTAATATAGAAATTTTTAGAATTTAAACTGTAATAAAAATTTTAGATTGTAAAAATTTCATTTATTATTATGATGAATTTTTTTTGCATAACTTATAATCAGAGTAATATTATGCATAAAACTCGGACTAGAAGATTAATTATATAATTAATTATTAATTAAATTAATGGTTTATAAATTTTTTTATATTTAAAAATATATATTATGATAAACAATAACGTTCATTAAAATATATTTTAGAAATGTTTCTATAAATGTTTCTATAAATGATCATTTTACAAAATTTGTATTTTCATTTAATAAAGTGTTTTATTAAACTACTACTTAAATTATTTTTTTATAAATGGCCCTGATTTAAAATAGTATACGATTTTATTAATTTTATTTTATTATTATAGCGTATTTATTTTCTAAAAGTTTCTCTTATTTTTTCAAAAGTTTTCAAAAGTATAATTATGCTTTTCTTTTTTCAAACTATTCTTTTTTTAAAGAGTTTAATTTCTTTTTAGCGAAATAATTCTTAACCATGTAATGTATAATATCTTAAGGAAATTTTAATCGTAAGATATCTATCGAAAGACGCCGTCATAAAATATATATGATAACAGATAATGCTTGTATCATGCCTGCTCATATTAAATGAATTTTGAAGAATGTGATTTATAAAATTAAAATAATACAGTTCTTTATTTAAATATGATTTTTTATCTTTGTATATTCATGAGATAGAGTTATTTAGTATTGTCTTTTATAGATAGTATTAGTAATAGACTAATTTAATTAATTTTAACAACATATAATTCTATACAAGTTTTTGATTTATAAGAAAATAGTTGTATTTATTACTCTTGTGATTTTTATTATCATAAACTGCAGTTTAAATTTAAAAGTGTACAGTTATACTGTAATATTGTGTAAACCATCTTTATTATTCGTGCATTACTTATGAAGAAACAATTTTAATACATCTACATGTTTCAATTAATTCTCTATTTATTAATAAGCAAATAATAAACTTCATTTTGCGTTGAAGTTTTTTTAGTTCTTAATAAAAAAAAAATAAAAAAAATACAGAATTTCATCTTTAATACTTATAAGTGTTTCTAACTCAAATTCACTTAGATTTTAGTATTATATATTTTATTTTAAGATAATTTTAACTACATTTACTAAATTTAATTTTTCTTAATTAGTTTTCTCCATTTCAATACATAGTTTATAAATTGCATGATTAAATATAGAATTTGTTTCAGTTAATTCTTTTCCTTATTTTATTTTGGAGTATTAATTACAGAGTTCTGATTCAATTTATTTTTATAAGTTTTTGATTCAATTCTTTTAAAAATTATTTCTTATGGATATTTATATGGGTTATTTTCAGTCTAAGATTAAATTAAAAACACATTAGGAAT